GTACAACCATTGATATTTGAATTTCGCCGCGTAACAAATAATGAAATCAAACGGAAAGATTCGTCAAATAACACTATTTTCAACTTATTCAAAAACTACAACAACATGAAAACTAGCCTGCCGAAAATTCTGAAAAAAACATATGTTTTTGTTCAATGTATATGCTCGTCAGAAAAAAATTTTCATAATTTTTGCACCTGTAGTTTGCACACAGCTGAATTTATTCAAAAACACGACCGTTTTTTCAAGTTTGAATTTTTATAACTAATTAATTAATAACAATTTCACGAAAATTTTTTTTTCATAACTTTTTATAAGTATTTGAGAGTCTAAATTATAATATATTTTTACTAAAACGAGTGCAGTGCGAAAGAGATTAATTAAAAACGGCAAAGAAACAGGTGGGAAGTATACTTCCCACTGCCCCTCAAAGGGTTAAGCAAGATCGCTTACGATCATACATTTTTGTTGAACCAATGTTTTCAATCAATCACAAAAAATCAAATCTCTGATATGCACTGAAAATAATTTGTTTGTGTGTGGTTATTATTTTAGTTCATTTATTAAAAGCTTTTAAAACAAGGGCAACAGAAATGGGAAAACCTTGAGGTATTTCGTTTTCAAGAGGGTAAATGGATGAGATTTGTTTGCCTACATTGCACTTTGTTGAATTTGACCCGATTCCGAGGCCAAAACTCATTTTTCGCGAGTATGCAAATTTCCGTTTTTTTAATGTTATCATGCTATATTGTATACCTAAAATGTTAACTTAGCAGTTTAATGTTAAAAAACATAACAGCTGTTAAAGTCAGCTGTTGCAAGCGGACACCACGTGCTGTGTTGATTGTTTAATTTACGGTGCAATTTCAAATTGGCATATCTCTGAAAAAAAAATCATTAAATAACAAAATTCAAAATGAATATGAATTCTTCAGGTTAGTACTATGTGTTGATACTAATATGTTGCGTGTTTTGTTCGTATTTTTCTAACAATTTGTATATTTAGCAAGTGTTGTCCCCTTGTCACTTTTGGAAAAAAACTTGAACTTTCCAAAGGGTTTTTAAAAAAGGTTCAAATTGTATCAGTGAGTGCCCATATACATGTTGTAGATTTGTCAATTCTGAATTCATAATATGTAAGCTCATTATGCGTTTTTTGCGGTTTTCTGCGTAATTTGAATTATTAGGGTTTCACAACTGACCAATATTGCGCAATTCGAGAGGATGCAAAATGCAGGAAAGCCAATATATATACCAATTATTATGATGTAAGTCAAAAGAAAAAAGACTGCCGACCAGACAATATTATTGTAACGGACATCGTTGCAAAAGTTTCTTTGCAGGATCTATTGAATCACACAACAAGTCGAATAGTGGATTATCAAAAAGAGGCTACAGCAACGGCACTGAACATGCAGCAGTCTGACTTTTTATCTGCAGAATTGATATTGAGTTATGGCTTTGATGGCAGCACGGGACAAGCTAACATTAATCAGGCTTACACTAACGGCCAGTCCCAAGATGCAGACTCTTCACTTTTTGCCACGACAGTTATGCCTCTTCGTCTGATCGATTCGTCCTGCAATATATTGTGGAACAATCAAACTCCGCAGAGCATACGGTTTTGCAGACCTTTAAAGCTGCAGATTCTTAAAGAATCCACAAAAGTTATTGAAGATGAGAACATTCGTATGGAAAGGGAAATAAGTGAATTAAATTCTATTAAAATAAATCTAAATGAAAGGCAATGTATATATGTGAGGTTTAGCTTGTATTTGACAGTAATTGATGGCACAGTGCTAAATGCCCTTACAAATACGAAATCTTACCAAGCTTGCCCAATCTGTAATGATTTTCTTGGTAACAAAAATTTTAAGTGCATGAAATTTGTTCCCATTATCCACAATGTGAAACACGGTTTAAGTCCATTACATTGTTGGATTAGGTTTTTCGAATTCGTCCTTCATGCTGGGTATAAAATGGATGTGAAGAAATGGCGAATATCTAGCCAAGACGATAAAAGCATTGTGTTGAAAAAAAAAAAATATTCAGCGAATGTTTTGGGAAATGCTGTCCCTGAAAGTTGACCAACCTGAACAGGGAGGATTCGGAAGTACAAATCAGAGAACTGCATCGAGTATGAGCGTTCATGTTCGATCAAACTTGCTCAAAGCAATCACAACTCAACACAGCGCTTCGCTATAAAGTGGTACGTTCCAGTTTCGTGCACAAAACGAACGAGTTCGAACTATTCACTTGAGTGTTCTGCTTACTGATTAAAACTGATTTGTTGGTTTCGGTATGATGATCGAAAATGATTGTACCGAAAGTAAAACGACGCACGAACCGCTCAGACTTCAAACAAGTTGCACTTGAATTGAATGTGAGTGAACGAATCAGATCGAAAATGTGTGGATAGTTTTTATGTAAATATGTGTATTTGAAAGGAAACAAGTTGCGGTGCATTAATTTAACCAAAATACAAAACTTCATTTATTTCTTCATTATTAACGCTTAAAGTTAAAATAGAATTAATACTTAAATTAATGAACAAAATTAATGCTTGAAATATAAAAGAACACAAACTTCACTGAGATCAGAAAAAAATAAAAGAAAAAAATATTTTCTAATTTCAACCTTAATTGCTAAAGTTTTTATAAAATGAATTTAAAAACAATAAGCTATCAACTGAACATTCTTTTTTCAGTTATAACATTTCCAGCTAAAGAAAACGAACGCTCAGCGGCTGCGCTGCTGGCGGGAATGGAATGAATTTGCAATGCTAATTTTGTTAAAAAGGGATATTTATTTTCATTATTTTCCCACCAGTTAAGTAAATTAAAGTTTTCATCCATTCCAATTTTTTCATTGCAATATCTTTCCAATTCTTCTTCAGGTGTCTCTGCGGTTTGTAAAAAATTACGCTTCATTAAATGCGGGAAAAAGAAAGTGTCGTTGGTTTTATTTATTGCTGTAACTTGGCTACTGGCATCTATGGTACTGTCTGAATCAAACGAAAACTGTGTTGTTGATGAATTCGATAAAGGTGTACTTGGAAATGAAGGTTGATTATCTGTCAAAATGCGAGCATTGCAAAACAATTTTATTTCTTCTAAATCGTTTGGCTGCATATTTAAAGCCGGGGGATATAAAAAATATGCAACTTTGTGCCATATACCGATGTTAGGGACCCATATTTCGTTTATATTATTTATTATTTTTTCTTTTAAAGTTGAAATAACCGGTATATCATTGTTTGTCGGCTGACATAGATTTTTAAGGGGCACAACTAGTGCGACGGCCTAAAAAATGCTGATTTTTGGGAATTTTTATAAAAAAAACTACTTGATCAATTCTTTTCAAATTTTCAGAATATATTTATACATGTTTTAAGAATGTATAGTGCAATTTTTAAAGAAAAAAGTTAAATATTTTTTAAGTTAGAGTCGATCTCCAACGGCGCTAAAAAAAAAGTGCTGCAGTGATTCCGGCCCTCTCCGTGGACGAAATCAAAAAATGAAAAATTCTCGTTAAACTAGATAATATTTTCCATACCATGAACTACGATACAAAAAAAAAATATCAAAATATGACAAAATGGCAGCGTTTAAAAAAAAAAATCGAATTTTAACCACAATTTTGGTCGTTATTTCGTAATTTTTGATCGGATCAAAAAACCGATAGTTCATGGTACGTAGAACTATATAAAGAACAGGTAAAAATTTGGTAGTGATCGGATAACTAGTTTTTAAGATATCACTGCAGCAAATTCGGAAAATGCTGTTTCGAGAAAAACGCGTTTAAAGATAAAATGATCGTATTCACTGTTATACGAGCGGCTGCTCTTAAAATTGCTATAACTCAAAAACTATTTGAGATATCGATTTCAAATTTTAATATGATATTTTTAAAGGTATAATCTACCGAAAAATTAAAAAAAAATTCGAATTTTTTAAAATCTCACACTAGTTGTGCCCCTTAATTGCTAAAATTACCGGCAACACATAGTACAGCGAAGGTGCACTGCAAAGCTGCAGTTTTTTAGAAACAATCTCAAAATTCTCACACATTTCGACTACCGATTTAACAACAGGTTTGTTAATATGTAATAACCGCAAGCTTTGTTCATTCTGCCTTAAAATGGTAAATATTCATATCATCCCAATTATCAATAATCGATTTCAGCATATAATAATGGGAATTCCAACGTGTTTGGCATTGGCTTTTTAAAGATGTGGTCGGAAGATGCTGCAAATTCGATTTTTTAAAATATTTAACTATCTTCTTGCAGGCCTCCAACACTTCTGCGAGTTCTGTGGTGGCAGAGAACGATTTGTCCAACACATTGTTAAAAAGATGGCTTCTGCAATTTTGTCTATTATTACATTGTAAGGCCTTCAAAATGATTGTTCCTCGATCCGTTACAAACGTAATTTTGTCAATATTTGATATATCAAATTCGTTAAATAGACTTTGAAGTTTTTTTAAAATGTTGTCGCCCGTTGACCTTTCAAAATCCATTGATTTTATTCCCAAAATTAGAACAAAGAATTTAAAATCCTTTTGGTAGTGGAATGTTACTCCCAAAAGGTTTCGCTTAACATAGTTATCCGACCACATATCAATTGTGGCTGACGCGCCACCACTGCTCACAATCTTATGGATTTCAGACTTCAGTTCCTCCTTCTTTTCATTGGCGCACTTCGAGACTTTCCGTGAAACAGTGGTTGGATCCGGTAGCATGTCTTCCACGTCGACGTGCTCGCCATAAGTTGCGCCGATCCGAATAAAAAACTTTACTAGTTTCACAAATCCGGAACCGCGCACAGCTGAAAATGGCCGACAGTCTTCTGTGACCCAATTCATGGTACAATTATACAAGCAGTGTTGCCAGATTTTGAGAGATAAAATAAGCTAGATTGAAGAAAAAAATAAGCTAGAATAAGCTAAAAATTAAAAAAAAAAAGCTTAAAATAAGCTAACCATGGAAAACATTAAAATAGTTGATTTTTTTACTTTTAATAATACGATATTTATATAACTATTAAATTAAAGAAATAATTTTATCAACTTCCTCATTAGATTCATTATATTTTGCCGAAGATTGTATTAAAGCGAGGTATTTTGTTGGCAGTTGGTACTCATGGCAACATTTTCCATGACGTCGCAGTCCATATCTATAACATTAAAACAAAAATACTTTGTATTTTTTAAATAATTTAAAATTTCAAAAACAAACCTTATTCTTAAAATTGCGTTTAAGCTTTTTAAAGACATTTTGTTGCGCATTTTTGATTTAACAATGTTCATACTCAAATAACTTGGCCCCAATCGACACCTTACAAAAGCAGCAGTACGCTTTTGTGGAGTCAGTTGGCACTTTGGCAATTCTTCGAAATTTAACCAAGAATCGCGGAAATTCTGTTTGTAAGTCACTTTCGGCATGTTTCTAAAACGACGCAACAACAATCGCAAATCAAACGTGTGCAAAATTTCAGTGTGACCGAGACTTGCTAACGATTATTATTAAAATACCAACAACAAAATATGCTTTTGTCCAAATTATCGATAAAAATTACCAAAAATTATAATACAATTTTTTTAAGCCAAAATTAGCTAAATTAAATTTGAAATAAGCCAGATTTTAAGCTATATGCATTTCAAGTATTTTTCAAGCTATTTCATTTTAAAATATGCTAAATCTAGCTTAAAATAAGCTAAAATGGCAACAATGTATACAAGGTAGTCTCGTCGGCTGCCTAATCGTTCGGCTTTTTAGTCAGTGCGTTCGTGCTTCTTGAAGGATGAGCACGCGTGCGGACGATTTTTTTCAAAGTATTAACCCTTGGGCAAAGATGTCGTTCTGCCCTTGGCTGCAAATTTTTTTTTGTTTTTTAACATGTCGTTTCAGATAATTTTAGTATAACAAAAAATGTAATGGAGAAACTATCAATAGCTACTAAGAAACATTAATTTAGATATTAAAAAAACTTACTTTAATATTGACATTTATTTTAAAATTAAAAACCTAAACAAGAAAATAACTATCCAAAAATAAAAACAACGTTTAATTTTAAATTCAAAACAATTAAAAATTAATTTATAAAAAACTTCAACTCCTATTACTATAAATGAGCAATTTAAGACCCATGCACCATCTAAGGGCTAAGCAAAAAGCTCTTTTGTCGTTTCACTCGCACTTACTACGCAGACTCCTCTCACTCGCACTTGTGGTGAGTAATGAATAAGGGAGTGCTTTTTTCCGACGAGACTACCTTGTATAATTGTACCATGATTGTATCATGGTACCATGAACTGAATCATGGTACAATTATATACAGTCGACTCTCGTTAATTCGAAACTCGAGGGACTCTTGAAATATTTCGAATTATCGAGTGTTTGAAATATCAAATGGTTCGAAATTTCGAAATTTGCGAAAGAACTTTGTTATACTGGCTTGCTTTAAAGCACAATTCTGCTGCTCACACTGCTCAATAACTTTTTTAAGAGAAAAAGTGCCTGAATACTTTTTCATCACTTTCGTTTTGTAGACATAAGCTTTGTAAGGTATCAAATGAGGATCTTGCTTCCTTAACTGACACCTCTGCCAAAGGTTCTTTATACTTTCTAGGGCTCATAGCTAACATTAACTTTTAATATGCATACCAACGAAAGAGTAACAGTAAATGAATAACTACACAAACCAATTCGTAAGAAGTGTGTGCGTCAAAAACTACATAATCAAAACAAAAACAAAGGCAAGTTTGAACTTGTCGCAAAATTTTTCTCTGCAACTTTGAATTGTCGAGTGTTAGACGCTGATGAGTTCGAATTAACGCGTGGTTTTGTTAAATATCAATGATTTTTTCGTTCGAATTACCAAGTGTATGAAAATGTATTGATTTAGTTCGAAATATAAAGAGATTTCGTAGGGACCTCGTGATAACTTTGATTTATAGAGAGGTTCGAATTATCGCAGGTTTGAATTAACGAGAGTCGACTGTAGTTGTACCATGAACTGAATGTAAGCAACATTCTCGAACATTCCTTGCCGCTCACACAAAACGGTTCGATCGAACAAAATCATTCGGAACCGAGCCTGAGTGGAACTGAATGTTCGCTTTGAGCACAATCGCTTACGACCATACATTTTTGTTGAACCAATTCACAGTGGTCCGGCTATATGGAAAAAGTGGTCATAAATCAAAAACTCAACGTAGAGACTTCAAAATTTGTACTCGGGGGTTTTGGGGGTCGTTGATTTCGAATATGAAGTGGAAATTTCAAAATTGAAAATGGCGGCTCCAATATGGCAGTTGTGACTTCTGTAAATAGCTGGTGAATATATTATCTCATTTTTCACGACCCCAGAGAGTACCACGTGGAGGTTTACGGTAAATTTAGACTCTCCTTTTTTTTTTTTTTTTTTACTTTTTTTTAAATTTTTTAAATTAAATTTTTTTTTTAAATTAAAAAAATTTTTTTTTTTATGTTTCTTTTAATTTTTTTTTATTTTTTAATTTGAATTTTTGTTTTTTTATTACTTTTTTTTTTGGATTTTTGTTTTTTTAATTTTTAAGTATCTGCTCACTGAGAATCACTATCTGACTCTAGACGTTCTGATTTAATGGCCGGCAGCCTCAAAAGTCCCATAACCTCTTTTGCTAGAGGCTTTGTGTACTTTTGAAAGCATTTGGATTTTGATAGTATTACTGGATCAGAAGAAATTAGCAAATTATGCATCGAATCCATCATGGTATATTTTCTAGATATTTTTCTTGTATTATTTTCTCGAAATCTTTTTATATCTTTATTACAAGATTCCTGTGCCTCTTCAGAGAGCTGTCCAATAGGCAGCAATGCCGTTTTTATTATGGCTGCACCGTGAATAAGTATTTTATGGACGGAAGCTGGCATATTATACCAATTATACAAGTCCACATACATTTTTGCTGTATTGAGCGCATAAACCTCAAATTTTTTGCTATTGATTTCAAAACCAGAAGACAGAGTTTGCAAAATTATGCCAAATCGTTTTATCAAAATTATGTCGATGCCCGTTATTTCAGATGAAATATCTGGATCGTTAAAAAACCTACGTGCGGTGTTTCCGTCGTTTGTTGATCCACTACCTCCTGTTTTAGGGAAATCTACTAACGACCCCATCTTCGCTTTGAAGGCTGCTTGAATATATGCCTTTCTTGCTTTAAAGCTCGCTTTCTCTGAAGGACTTCGAACTTGCCATTTCTTGAAGTTCAAGCGATATGCAATATGCAGCAAACATTCGAAAAATCAAATTTTGGCATGTAGAGGAGATAAGCCAAACTCAAATATGGACGGATCTGTTTCTCTTTGAATTGATGTATTTATGTCTTTCATAATTCTCGGTAATGCTCCGCAAACATAACATCTTTGAGTTGAGGCAGTTTGTATAAGAGCATTACAGACTTTTCCGTCAATCATAGTTAGGAGCATTTGATGAGAAATATATACATTTTGAAATTCATCATTTGTAATGGTACTTGGTACTAAATTACCTATTTGACTTTCAATCTCATCTCTTATTGACAACGAAACTGCAGAAGTCTCTTTTGTGAACTGGATTTTAATTGGTACGCAAGATCTAGAAGATGATGGACGACAATTTTCCAAAGTATTATTTTTTGACATGAATTAGATTTTGGAGTATACAACTCTAAAGGCACAAGTGAAGTTATCATAATATTTCGGTCATTAAAGTCTTCAAAAGAACGCTATTTATAAGCTGAATACCCTGAACTTCCGTCAAAGCCCCACTTGGAGGTCAAAATCAATTTTAAGAGGCAATTTGAAGGAAGAGTGCGTAAAACAGGTTGTACGACCTGTAGTAAACGATTTGATAAGTGATTAAGAAGGGATTGCAATTGAACTTCAGCACTCTGTTCAGTAATTGTAATGTTGTTCGGATAACACCTTTTTTTAGCTTCTATAATCTTATGATAAGAAGGATACAGATCAATGCCTCTTTCCTTAATACCTGATCTAATATTAAGATATTGGTGTTTTGTCAATTTGTTCGATACCATAAAAGCCAAAGCTTCATCTTCAGTATAAGATGTGATTGGGCTCACAGATTATGTTAAGAGCCATCCGCTTTGGAAGATGCCACTTTCGATACCAAATTTGCACCAAAACTATTACCTTCCGATCGAAGATTCACAGATGCAGCATATGCTAGTTCAGTTCCGGATGACTTGAGTAAACTATTAACTCTTCGTTTTTTATAACGCTCATTGATATCTTCGAAGGATTTCGGCGGTTGGCCTCTCTTGGTTCCGCCATTGCGTATGCTATCGTGAGAAAGTTCACATTTTTCAATCACGGATGTTTCGCATGGAAAAGTGACTGTTTCATTTAACCAGGTAGCATTCTCTTCTAAAACATGATTCCAGTGTCTGTTACAATTAATCAGTTTTCGCAAGATATCTTTACAGAAATTTTGAATAATCTGCAAAACCCCTTTTTTTAATTCTTTTGGACGGTTTTGATATTTCAATTTTTCAATTACGTAATTTTGCAAATGGATTCTTTTGGTATCATACCGCTTAGCTTCAGAAGCCTTTAAGAAAAGGAATAAATCCCTCTTTGTGTGAGCAAAAGGCATTGTTTTTGGAATTCCGTATGCTATTCCCTGTAAAGCGGGAAATTTGTGCAAAGCGGAAAAAAAATGCGCCAAATGCGTCTCTAAAAAGGTGGTGCTTCGGAGCCGGTCAGATTTTTACAGCAACCGCAATAATTGGCGTTCTGGCGCTTAAGAATTCTAAAAACAAATTCATTTTAATTTTAACCCTAAAATATTAAACAATTGATTTTACCCTAGCCTCCTCTCAATGTCACCGCTTAAATTGGAATGAAAGAATATTCTAGTTCAAAGTATACTTAAAAAAAAGCTGCGCAACTGCCCAAATTAAAGTTACTGCATATGCAAGTTATCCAACCCATGAAACCAGGCCACTTATGGCTTTTATAAACAATATTTTCAAACTCTGCTTTGAGGCCCGCTCTTAGTTCCCCAGCTAAGCTAAACAATTCAAATTTAAAGTAAACATCAGCTTCCGTTCGAATCGCAATCAATTGCGCCGATTGAGTTTCAAGTCCCCACCAAATTGCATCGGTCAGCATAATTGAATTTCACAATAAGATGTGACAGTTTCATCTTAAGCTTTTATACTAAACAAAAATTGAAGTTCGAAAAACTCAAAGAAGAAAAGCTCCTGGCCGAGGTTTATTGGAGCCGATTAAAAAGTTAAGCAGACAGTCATGTTCAGATCGGCATCGCGTTCAGTTATATCTGTTAAAGTGTCTTGTGAAAAACTGTATTAGAAGATAAAAGGTTTATCACCGAAATAAATATATAAATAAAAAAAGGGGTGTGTCCAGCATACGCACGACAGAAGTGAAACTTCTTCATCACTACTCATTTTTAAAATTGAAATTCTGTAGGAAACCGAATAAAAGCCTTTTTAGACGCTTAATTTTAGAGGTCTCGAAATGTGCTGGCGACTCTCAAAAGTTAACAAACCGATTGAGAAGAAGAAGAAGACAAATACATATCGATATGTGTTTTCATTTCTAGGTCAAATAAAATGGATAGAAATTATGGTACCAATTAATATCTGTATGCAACCTGTTCGATTTGAATTCCTTTTGTCATTCACACCTCTCACCCCTTTTTCAACTGCAACCGCATTCTATTTTTAGATTTTTACGCTCTCAACTTTGTGCGAGCGCGCTGAGAGCGAGAAAGGATAGAGGAGGATAGAGACATCGTTCGTCAGCGGTTAGAAAGGGATGGGGATCCTCGCTTTTTCGTGACGGTCATGAATCGGTTTTACTCCGTCCCCGAAAATCCACAACGCGCCTAAAGAAGTTTCACTTCAAAAATAAAATATATTTTTTTAAATTCACCAACAACATCAAATTTACAGTAGAATCCTCTTATAACGACTCCGCTTATAGTGTCCTTCCGGGTATTGCGACGAAAACTCGATGGCTTGATTGGTCCCCAGACAGACTTATGCACTTAAATCCTTCTGCTTAGTGCGTCTTCCGGGTATAACGACGAAAAATCGTCGGTCCCTTGAAAGTCGCTATAAGCGGATTCTACTGTATATTTTTTTAAATTCACCAACAACATCAAATTTACAGTAGAATCCTCTTATAACGACTCCGCTTATAGTGTCCTTCCGGGTATTGCGACGAAAACTCGATGGCTTGATTGGTCCCCAGACAGACTTATACACTTAAATCCTTCTGCTTAGTGCGTCTTCCGGGTATAACGACGAAAAATCGTCGGTCCCTTGAAAGTCGCTATAAGCGGATTCTACTGTATATTGCATATGCACACGTGCGAGAATGATCATGAGCGCAAAGTAGAACTAGGGATGATAAAATCACTGACTTTTGTTTTTGTCGCTTTCGCTGCTGATAAGGCTGGTGCTTAATTTCCGCAACAGGCGTGGAAAAAATGTTTGCATTTGCGTTTGCGCAATTTTGCGCAAAAGTTTTAAATTGGGTATTGTAGTACAGATGTGTACTAATATTACCTACATATATGGTCTCCGGTTGGAAGCTGATGGAAGGCTAAAAATATTCGATTCAAAAAAAAATTATTTTCAAAAAAATACTATTTTTTGCTAAGTAAATGAGAATCCCATCAATACAACAATACATATTGATAAAAAATTTTATTGATAATATAGTTTACAGTAATAAAGAACTGTTAAAAAAAAAAATTGTATCGTAGAAATGTTCGTAAATAGAAATAAAATTATATTATATTTTTATAGGATTTTCGTCACTTGTCACTTTTAAGATTAAAAATTTTTATGTAAACGGAATTAAAACAAGCTAATACTTTGGTGAACCATAGTTCAAATATTCAAGAATTTATTAGAATTAGAAATTTTTAAATCCAGGACTATTGAAAAATTGGATTTATGGCAGCATCCGGACCACTGTGCAATGTTTTCCATCACAAAAAATCCGAGTAAATGAAAGAGTATGATCGAAAAAATTGTGATCGTTGCAGCTCTCTGGTACAAATGTTGGTAATACTGCACGCCGTGCATTCAGCAAATATGAAGCTTTCGCAGAAATAACTGGCGTCGATACACAAATTATTTTCAACATGAGGAATATCCTTATCTCATTATCCTGTCAGCTTCCAATAAATGCCGAAAAATTTGAAAAACTTTGCCATCAAACTGGTCACTTAATAATTGAAAAATATCCATGAATACCAATGACAGCGACGGTCCACAAGATTCTTGTCCACTCAAGAGTAATATTGGAAAACACTGTTCTTCCAGTGGGTTATTTTGGTGAGGAAGCAGCTGAATCCAAGAATAAAATATATAAATCCGACAGACTCCACCTTGCAAAGAAGAACAGCCGAATAAACAATCTTACAGATATTTTTCACAGAGCAATGGATACTTCCGACCCCATAATTTCATCCTTAAAGTTGAAAAGGCGGATCCAAAAGCACAAGAGTCTTGCTTTGCCAGTAGAAGTCATCCAGCTGTTGGCTTGTGAAATTGAATCTGCAGATGAGTCTGCAAATTATATCGACGCAAGGGAAGACGACAATTCATATTTTTTTTTTTATAATAATAATGAAATTGATGATAATGATGAAGTTGAAAATTAATACATAATACATTTCTTTTAATAATACAAAACAAAAATTTGTTTTTCTTATAATATAATCCATATTTATTATCTGATCTGGACCAAATTTGCAAGACGACGAGGAATACGACATTCATCCTGTGCTCCAAAATTGGGGTCTCTAACTTGAGAATTACTTTAGGTATTCGTTTTTTTTTTCGATTTCTGTGGGCACAGGGGGGGGCGTTGACACGCCCACTTTTCTAAAATACCTTCCTATAGTAATAACCTTCATTATACAAGAAACCTGCATTCAAAAATATCGTTAATTTCAAAAATTTTAATTTTGGCCACAAAAACGGGTCAAATTCAACATAGTGCATTGGTTGCTATTTTTCGGTTCGTCATAAAGTTGTTAATGTAATGAATTTTTTTTGGTCCACCTTTCCATTCCACTAGTTGGTTGATTATTGAGTGAACTCCCACTCGGTTAAAGTTAAGAGAGACGAGTGAGATGTGTTTTTTGCTGTTTAGTGACTTCGTAATTAGATGGTCTACATCATGGTACAACTACAACTGGTATATAATTGTACCATGGTCTACATCATGGTAGAATTATATAAGGTAGTCTCGTCGGCTGCAAACTTGTTCGGTTTTTTCCCCCTATGGCTCAGTGCGCTCGGGTTTTCGAAGTCAGAGGTTGTCCGCGGACGATTTTTTCTCAAAACGTTAACCCTTGTGTGCTTATGAAAAACACTTGATGAAATTATTGCAGCAAGCACATACAATGTGTAACATGTAATATTGCACAAAAATATTTTGAAAGGGTAACAATATGGAGGGGAGTCCTAAAGGGCAGCTTTGGGTAAAAACCAAAAATTACGAAACAATAAATACTCATTGTCATATAACAGTCCTTTTTAACCCCTATGCACAGTATATGGGTTAAACAACACATTCTGTTTCTGTTTCTTTCGCACTTACGGGAAAACACCCTCTCACTCGCACCCATTGTAGTGCGCAATAGGGGGAAGAAAAAGCCGACGGGACCATGGCATAATAAGTACAAGGTAGTCTCGTCGGCTTTTTTTTTCCCCTATCGACACTACAATTAGAGCGAGAGAGAGAGTGTTTTCCTATGGGTTCGGGTCGATAGGGGAAAAAACCCGAACGATTTTGCAGCCGACGAGACTACCTTGTATAATTCTACCATGGACGGGACTACCTTGTATAATTGTACCATGGACGAGACTACCTTGTATAATTGTACCATGACAGCAAGGGTCTCTTGCTCAGAGTGAGAGCGAGAGAGTATGCACTTTTTCGGTTGTGCTCGCACAACCGAGGGCACAAGATGAAAAACGGTCGACTGTAATTTGCGAGCTCTGCTATGCACACATTTTCGATCTGATTCATTCACTCACATTCAGTTCAAGTGCAGCTTGATCGAAGTCTGAGCGGTTCGTACGTCGTTGTACTTGATCGTCTTTTTCGGTACGATCATTTTCGATCATCATACCGAAACCAACAAATCAGTTTAAATCAGTAAGCAGAGCACTCAAGTGAATGGTTCGAACTAGGGTTGTTGATAATATATCAAAATATTAATATATCGGTATTTTTCTAAAAATGATATATTTATATCGTATTTTTTTGTTTGCACAAATATCGGAATATCGTTACAATTTTTTGATATTTTTGTCTGCGGTCACTCTAAATTCTGAAGTGGCATCATGTGGACAAATTAAAGCGCGTCAGAAAGAAAATGAGTGTTAAATCGAATTATACAATTGTGAAAAACGGGACAGCGAAGTGCAAACATTGCGACAAAATCATAAGAACAAGGATTGTTATGCATTTTAAGCACAGTACGGCTAAGATGGATCAATTGCGAAAGGCTCAAGCCGATGAGGGTACTCCTGAAGGAAAAATAGGAACTTTAATTCAAAATGTAGACACGCGCTGGAATTCTTGTGTAGATATGATGGAGTCCTTTTTAGGCTTAGTTGATTTAAAGATCAGAACGCGTTAAGGGACTACCCGAAATGCTCAATGCCTCAGAGCTTAGCAGCGACTTATGTAGTCTCCTGCAGCCGTTTACACAAGCCACAGAGCAGATAAGCGGTGAACAATACGTCACCGTAAGCATGGTGATTCCACTCATTTCGCCATTGAAAAACAACATAAAAAAATTGAATATGGAGACAGACGAAGGAAAACGAGCCAAGGAGGCTCTTTTAAAGAATTCCGAAAAAAGGTTCCAGTCGTTCCAGCAAAATAAAATTTTAGTGAAATCGTCCTTCTTAGACCCTAGATTTAAAAGATGTATTTGTCACCGCTTTCGGTAAGGGAGGCCTCATTAACTCGTAAAACTAAAAATTGTAATATTATTAACATTAAAAATTTTGCTAAAATAAGAAAAAACACTTGCTGACTAGTTAAATTCCTACAGATTTCTGATGGAAAAAAAAAGGATTTCAAGGACTTTAAGAGCTTCCATAACAACTCCATCGCAAATGACTATGACGAATCGGAGAACAAGGAACTAAAACTTTATTTTAGCTTGCCCAAAGCTGCGTGGGAAAGCAATTCCCTTGAAGTATGGAAATCACAAAAAAGCGACTATGCCGGGCCTGTACAAGCTGGCCCTGAAGTATTTAGTTACCCCAGGAAGTTCGGTGCCTTCAGAGCGGCTGGCTTCCGCCATTAAATGTGTTGAGTGCGATGCAAGGAGCAGGATGACGGACGCACACATTACGCAAAGGGTATTCCATAAATCTCTAAAAACGGCAAACTGGTTTTAAAAATTGTTTAATTGTTTAATAATACTGTTATTTTTAAAAAGAAACTTAACAAAAAATATCGGAAATATCGATATTATCGATATTTTTATGTGATATTTTAAATATTATCTTTTTTTTTTATAAAAAAGTATCATCGATACGATATTTTTTAAAATTTTCGACAACCCTAGTTCGAACTCGTTCGTTTTGTGCACGAAACTCGATCGTACCATTTTCTAGCGAAGCGTTGTGTTGAGTTGTGATCGGTTTGAGTAAGTTTGATCGAACATGAATTCGATGCAGTTCTCTGGTAGACATGGCAGAAGTGAAACTTCTTTGGCGAACTAATTTATCAGTCTTGTCTATATTTATACAAATCTAAAACATAAGATTTCCGAGACTTAAAGAAAGGGAAAAAGGAAGATCAGGTAGGAATTTAATTGTCATTAAAATATTAAAAGTGTTGAAAAGTAATATAAATTATAAATTTAGTTTTTTAAATTTATTTCTTCAATATTTACACTATTCGACGCGATTTCTATAGGTGTTGTTGTGACTAAAGCAGTTTTTCCCCATGTGTGGGTCGCGATCCACTGGTGGGTCGCGGGTAAATTTTTAGTGGGTACTAATTGTCATATAGATCTTGCTATTTTTGGTGTAAATGTGTCGCGGTCCCGACAAGTTTGGGAAACACTGGACTAAAGCATTATGATACGTAAAATATGCAATATAAGTTTGTCTTTTAACATTATCTAAACAGCTTGTAAAAACAGCATCTATTGTCGTTATACGATAGATTTTCCATCTAAAGTTCTAATAATTAACTAGTAAACGAATACACAAACCAATATAGCATGTATTATTTCTCAATATCCCATATTCTCTCTCTCTCTCGTTCAATCCATTGGACAATTATACCGAACGTTGTGAAGCATTTCCTGTTAGATGAGCCTTGGTCACACACTAGGACTTTCACGAAAACCCCCATATTTTGTAAGATGCTTACACTTCTTTTGACAATTTCGCAAAGAATTTCACCGCTCAATCCATTTTGAGAAACAAAGTAGTTCAGCACACAGCTTGTGTTAGAAAAAATGGACTTAAACATAAAAACAGTTACTTTCCTTGCAACATAAGGCAAACGTTCAAAGCCCTTATCCGTGAATCCATCAATTAAGTCCAGTTTCTCAATATACCGAAGTTCTTTTCGAATTGTCATCTCGTCCATCATAAAAACGACTTCAGTATTATTTGTATTTTTTAATTGAAAGCAAATTTTTGTGATATGATCAATGAAACTGTTTGTGAAGCCAGGTTGAAGGGTCTTAATTGGATCCCATCTATACAGTGTACTGCAATGGGGCACAGTAAGGTTGAGCCTGTTTCCTATAAAATTATAAGTTGATGGGGAAACATAATAAATATTTTGGGCCTATTGCCTTGGACGATTTGCAGCCAACAATTTACAAAAAATCTTTGATTCCTTACTTATCTGTAAGCCATTTATTACATTTAAAGCCTGTGCCGAAATATTCATTTTAAGCTTCACACTTAAAGATTTTTTGGTTTTTTGTTTATTTTTTAAATTTTTTATTTTCGCTAATAGCAAATTACATTTTTTTTGGTAAAAATTTTTTAATTTTAACATTTTTCTGCAATGTTTACACGAGAATGCAGGCTCTGGCTCTGGCTCAACCAGATCATCGGTATCCATTACCTCATCGTTCATCAAATTTAAAGTTGGAATCGCTTCCTTTTTTAATTTATTTTTGCCAATATATGTAGATTCAAAATGGTTTTGACAAATGTACATAATTTTGTCATAATCCTGCAAAGGGATACAGCATTTTTCGCGCCATATTTGGCCAAAAATTGTGTCAGCAGATGGAAATTTAATTTTAAAAATTTCAGATTTCCATCGCGTCGAGAATTTTTGCAATCTTTGACACGGCACAAATGACGGACTTCGCATCTCGTTTGCTCATGATAAATAAAAAGGAAAAGAAAATTATTAAACGTCTTGATACACCGACTGTTCGATAGCAATTAAAAGTAAAACGCGTACACCAGCGTTTACATACGACGAATATTAAAAACGAAGACGAAAGCCGAAAGCAGCAGTTCGTCGTGGTTCTATTTTTAGATTTTCCCTTTTTACCCCGACCGACCGCATCATGAAGCTCGAAACAGAAACGAAAAATTTTTTGTATGAGATGCAACATCTTGATATTCTATAGTCTTTGGTTGTAGGCTGAGTTGCTGTTGTTCTTGTGGTTTGTTGGGAGGATTGCCCACGGTTAGGGCTTTCAGTTCTAACTACAAGAGTATATTGGTTAGCTTTGGTGTGCTCGGATCTCGGATTTCTTAAGAAACGTTGGGCTTACAAATTATTAATAAAAATTCAAATTAAATAAATTAGGACCTCGGGACTCTTATTGTACACCATTTGTTTTATCTTAGACACAGTTTGAACCGTTGAATTCATTTTAGGCCACACTAATTACAAACCACAACTACCCGGTTGAGGAACATACGGTTAACACCTCCGATGACTACATTCTTACTATTTACCGCATTCCAACGTCGCCAAAACGAAAGCAAATGAACCAGACCGGCGAGCGCTTAGTGGTTTTTCTACAACATGGTATCCTGTGTGCCTCCGATGACTGGATTATCAACGGACCAGAGACGTCGCTGGCCTATATGTTTGCAGATGCTGGTTACGATGTCTGGCTGGGCAACGCACGGGGCAACACGTACTCACGACAGCATAAACATATTCATCCAGATTCGTCTGACTTTTGGCATTTTAGCTGGCACGAGATAGGAGTCTATGACCTTGCGGCTATGTTAGACTATGCATTGGCAGTGAGCCGTTCAAATTCCCTGCACTTCGTGGCACACTCGCAGGGAACCACCACGTTTTTCGTGCTAATGTCCTCGTTGCCTTTGTACAACGTGAAGGTGCGCTCCGTCCACCTTTTAGCGCCGATAGCTTACATGCGCAAACACTCCTTTATCCTTTCCAAGTTGGGTGGCCTTTTTCTTGGGTCGCCTTCTTTTCTCAGTTGGGTGCTAGGTGGTATGGAGCTCCTACCCATAACTAGGGTGCAGAAACTGATGTGTGAGAATGTTTGCTCAGAGGCCTCGATGCTAAAGTTCCTGTGCTCCGGTCTGCTAGAATTCATCGGAGGCTGGGGAACCCAGCATTTAAACAAGGTAAGAAAACTATTGGGTTGGCAAGAAAGTCATGTCGTTTTTTTCAATATTTTCAAAGATGATTTATTTATAGGGTAAGATGGGGTAAAAACGCCAAAAATGTATATTTGACGATGTCAAGCTATCATTTATAAAATGATCAGTGAACCAACCCATATTTCTGAAAGTTTAATTCTTTGGCTACATAATTCATTTAGAAAGTTTTTATGTAGCTTTTATTTTAAAACAATTGTAATCGTTCAAAAGAAAAGTTTAAAACGGCGGTTTTACCCCACCTAGTGGGGTAAAAACGCCAGTCTGGTTTCAGTGTATTTAAGTACGCAAATAATGCCAATAACAAGTAGATTATTATCATAAAATATTGAAATCTTAGATATTGATACCTAATAGAAGAAAATCTTCAATTTCAAAATTTCCAACATGTGGAAGTTCAGAAGTTTTTTAATTAAAAACTATATCCATTGAAATGTTGCAAACACTTATTATTTAACAATTTCAATAATCAATTTCACAATTATTAAGTGCCTAGTGAATTTCCAAAGGGTCGGCTTCAATATTATAGAAAAGTAATATATTATAGAGTTTAAAAAATTAAAACTTCTGAGCAATACGTTATCGCGGCGTTTTTACCCCACGCGCCAATTTTTTTTCGAGGTCACTTAGTTTGTACAATTTTGTAAATATTGGCTAACTTGATACATGTACAACAGTACCAAGGTTCGTACTATAAGCGGACACTTACCCTTTTTTTCAAGCCGTTCATTTACACTTGATTGAGCAATGTTGATAACAAAAATTTTTTGCTGCCGTCGAGTGAAACAAAAATGGCGCAATAGAAATTGTAACGATAAAGCTGCAGTAATCCGACCGACTTCAAAAACTGCGCATTATCAATCAAAATCTACATTATCAACGGTTAATCGATTCGGCGCTTCATTTGAATTTAATATCCAAATGGCGGTTTTACCCACCGGCGGTTTTACCCCATCTTACCCTACATATCTGGACTTATAATTAATCAATTATGTATTGGCCGTTAGGGGGGGACGGTGGCCCAGCAGGTAGAGCGCTGGCCTCCGGTCCGGAAGGCCCGGGTTCAAGTCGAGCCCCAGGCTCCCCGAGAAAAAGAAACTGTCTCTTTTTCCAAATCTCCACCACTTCTATGCTCTATCGCTCACTTAACATTAGTAACAAATTTCGGCTCCCCGGACCCGCACACCCCCTCGTCCACGTTACTATGGACCCATCAATAGAATTTTCGTCACTCCTAGATGGCGCCAGGTGGCAACCCCACCGCTAGGATAAGTCGCTACTGGCTTATCACCGGTACGATCGAAAATCAATGATAATGAATCCTCTACAAGAAATTGTAGAGGCTCTAAGCTCCCGGGTGGAGTAACAGAATGTAAATTTTATTGGCTGTTAGTGGTCGAACAACTAATGACCATCTTTCGGGCAGCTGCATAATTCCGCGCTCGAAGAACTTTTGGTCTTTTCCAGAAAAGAATCGAGACAAGTGGTTTTTGACAGCCTCATCTGAATCAAAGTTTTTACCATTCAAAGAGTTTTGAAGAGAGCGAAACAAATGGTAATCTGAAGGTGCTAAGTCCGGACTATAAGGTGGATGTGGTAGCACTTCCCAATTCAGCTCCAAAGATGTGTGGGGCCTAGCGTTGTCATGGTGAAAGACTATACCCTTGTGATTAGCTAGTGCCGGCTCCTTTTCTTTAATTTTTTCCGCCAAATTGAATAGCTGGCGACAGTACACATCTGAATTGATGGTTTCATTCCGTCCCAGCAGCTCAAAGTGCACTACTCCCTTCCAATTCCACCAAACAGACAGCATAACTTTCCTCTGATGGATATCGGCCTTTGATGTGGCTTGGGCTGGCTCATCTTTCTTGCTCCATGATCTTTTTCGTTGGACATTATTGTAAACAACCCACTTTTCGTCGCCAGTAATGATCCGCTTCAAAAAAGGATCGTTTTTAATCCGTTGCAGCAGAGAATAGCAGATGTTGATACGCTTAGTTAGGTGAATTTCCTTTAAGTTATGCGGAACCCAAACATCGAGCTTGCTTACGTAGCCAAGTTTCTTCAAATGGTTTTCAACCGTTGTATGCGACACACTGAGCTTCTCTGACATCTCCCGCGTTGAATAACGCCGGTTTTCATCCAGCAAAGCCTGAATTTGTTCGTCAAAAACGGCCGATGGTCGACCAGAACGTGGGAAGTCTTTAACTCCAAAATCTCCAAGCCTGAATTTGGCAAACCAGCGCTGACATTGGCGATCACTCATGGCATCTTTACCATACACTTTGCACAATTTTTCGCGAGTTTCGACCCCTTTTTTTTCCTTTTTGGAAGTAAAAAAGCAAAATATGCCGAAAATTCTAACTTTGGTCCTCCATGTTTAATTTGCTATAGCTTCCACAAATGTTATCGAATAATTACCAAATTTTCGTCGATAGTACCTAAGACAACAAGCTTTAAAACGATACTAAAAAGTGTGACCCTGGTGCTCGATTAGTCGTAAATAAATTAGATTAAAAACGATTACTAAAAAAAAACGACATTACTTTCTTGCCAACCCAATAGACGGAATAAGAAAACTTTAAAATTATGTTTTTCTGCTCTAGACACTACTAACAGACGTATGCGTGACCCACCCAGCTGGGGCTTCTACCAGTCAGATAATCCACTACCTGCAGCTCTACACCTCTGGTGACTTTCGGCAGTACGACCACGGGCGTGAGCGAAATGAGTTAATTTACAAGCGAGCAACGCCTCCTCCTTACAATATGCTAAACATAGAGAGTTGCGTTGACTTGTACTACAGCGACAATGACTATATGTCTGCGGTGGAGGACGTGGAATATCTGGCTTCGCTTCTTCCCTGCGCTGAGCTATACCGGATTCCGTACACCGACTGGAACCACTATGATTTTCTGTGGTCAAACAATGTAAAGGAGGTTCTAAACAACAGGATCATACACAAGGTGCTAAGATATGATGAACTTATATAAGATTTATTTTTTTGTCGTTTTAATCAAAGCTAAAATGACAAAAAAAAAAAAAATTAAATGCTGATATAAGTTTAAAAATTATTCATTAGGTTTTTATGAAACAGGTTTTTACGATTTAAATTTAAAAAAAAATAAAATTAAATCATAGTGTACTGAAGATACTGCCATATGATAATAGAAATCTAAAACATTTTCCATTTTCCGCATTTCCTGGAAAACGCTTCCGACGTTCATATCCCGACAGCTGTTATAGTATTTGAGGAAATTCTCTGGAGCCTTTTTTAAATACATATTCTAATTTTCTAATTTAAGACGTATAACATTTTCTTTTGTTTTTGTTTTCCCAAAAAGACTGCAAAATAAATTAAACATTTTTCAAAAATTATTTTAAAACCTCCATGTGAACGACATTCTCGACATCCTGACGGCCGTCAGGAGATATAATCGTTAAGATTTTTGCTATCCTAACTCTTAAACAGGACACATAAAATCGTTTCTTAAATCTTAGCCAGCTTTATTACCCGACAAAACAAACTATTACAGGAAACCGTAGACATTAAATCTAATAAGGTAAGTTAAATGGTAACTCAATGACTTGTGGCAACCCTTTTCAGCTTACGATCACAATCAAACTCTTATCGAGTATCTCACGGAAGTGTCAAAATCGCTGGATGCCATCTCCAGTAGACACACACATTCGCCTAACGACTACGACAGCTTCATCCGCCGCTACTGGTACGTCAGTGTCGCGTTTCGCATCTTTATCATTCTTTGGTGTTAAGTAAATGTATATAGTGTTATATGAATAAACGAATATTAAATTGGTGACCCCGACACCACACAAGACGACGCCGACGTCTTTCACGATACCGTTACTCGCAATTTCGGCGCAGTTATTAACCGCGTAGCTGTTAAAATTCCGCCGTTTTGGCCTGAGCACCCCGAATTATGGCTGACGCAAATCGAAGCCCAATTCGTTCTGGCAGGAATAACTAAACACGACACGAAATTCAATACGATCCTGGCGTCAATCGAAGCACCGGCACTGGCCCGAATTGCCGACGCCATCATCAACCAACCAGGCACAGGCAAGTACGAAAACTTAAAGTCGTGCATTTTGGAACGCTTCTGCGAAAGTGAGCAGAAGAAAATCCAGAAGTTGATTTCTTGCCCTGCAGTTCCAAAAGTGGCTTTTCGTCGATGAAATGGACGACGACCCACCGATGACAGGGGAAGCAGCCACTGGTGGCTATCCGATGACAATTCATATAGTCATTTGTATGGGATCGCCGGTTTTGTCATGCATGACGCTCTGGATAACAATTTTGTCCGTTTCATCGAACGAGTCATCGGTGGCTTATACGAATTTTGTATGGAGAAAATTCGTATAAGCCATTGATGATTTCGTTGGTGACGTGGGGGAGACAATTTCATCGATGGCTTTTGGGAGGATACCCTTAGTGAAATCATTAATGTCAATGTCTAAAAATGTCATCCCCAAATTCATATGAAAAACAATATATATATATTTATTTCTTTTTTAATTTTATTAAAATATCTTATTTTATAACATAAGAGATAAGTTGATAAATAATATGAAATTCGAAAGTTTTTGTTTACCATTTATATGTGGTTACAAATTAAAATGGCTTCTGACGAATATTCGCAGGGCAGAGTCTGTTTTGCGTCCGTCTCCCTTGAAATGGTATAAAAAATATTTTTATTATTACATATTATATATGACTTTTATGATTTAAAAGCAAACTTACCTTTCAAACGAATATATCGGACATATGGCTGAATCTTGAAAATATTTAAGAATATTTAAATAGGTTTTTAGTTAAAAAACATACTATTTTTATAATCTTATCGACACTTACATGATTTTTAAACACTCTTCGCTGCCCGTTGCACAAATTAAGTAATTTCACAACCAATCGTCAACGCACTACGCAAAAGAATGACGCAGGTCAATTTCAATTTTCACCCTTTGCTCCGTTTTTTTCGTTTTAGTATACCCTTCTTTTTTGGGTTATAGCCGACCATAAATAACTCGCGAGTTACATATGTATATTATTTCCATATTTGTAATTAATGTTATGTCATGTGAAACAACAATAAGCATTTTTATTGCCGAAACGAAAAACTTTGCGATTGCAGTGGTTAATTCTTTGCGCTGGTTTTTATTAGTCGAATAGCGAAAATAAGACGAAAGTTGCGGCGATGCGCACGATAAGGAGTTCAGATTTCAACTAAACTTTTAATTTCATAAAATTCTCTTACATGCCTATACCTAAAGTACTGAGCGGGAGATCGGCGGCCGAATTCGCCTGAGCGAGAAAGCTTTATTAAGCCCCGACCCCCGCTTTACATAAACATAACAAGAGAACTCTCCAAACATGGTTACCTTGGTTCAATAATTTACATAATAATGTATATATAAACTATATTATATATATAAGTTTATATATATATATATTTATATTATACCTAATATATGAAGAACTTTAGCATCAAAAGAGTATACATAAGTCGAGCGCCCCTCAGCCATATTTCCCATCGAAACCCAAATTGTTTCTAACGGAGAATGACAACATTGCAATAAAAAAAAACGAAGACAAATTTGGAGTCGGGCCGCCGTCGGATGCAAGCAACGATTCGTATTATAAGAGTGAGAAGGAGAGGGAAACTTAGGAATATCCCTTTTCCTTTCCTACACACACGATTGCTTAAATGAGACGAGTCACCAGGTGACAGCCAGAACTGCAGGGTGGTGACAAGCGCCCCACACAACTGCTCAACGAGTTAAGCGCACTCGCCGCAAACAAAGTTGACGAAACTTTCTTACCAACACAAGTGCAAGTGGTCTTGCAAGCATCGGACGCCTGCCTTGCAGACCTAGCTAAGTTGGCGGTCAAAGTGATGGAAGTCGGCGATTTCCATCATATACGCACCGTCGACGACAAATCGGCGCCAACCAGCAGCACCGTTTTCGACAAACGTCTAGACCGCATCGAGCAACAGATCAACACGCTTTTCAGAAACCGTCACCGCAAGAACAGTTCGTCCACATTAACGGATCGCAAAAACGTCACGACTTCAGGCTTGTGTTGGTAGCACAGCAAATTTGGCAACGCCACCAAGAAATGTCGCCAACCGTGCTCCTTTTCATCCGAACCAAAAAACTAAAGCAGTCATTCGGCGGACAAATTCGAAGAAGACCACAACACAATTGCCCGCCTCGCCATCAACGACAATTTCTCCAAAACTCAATTTCTCATCGACACCGGCGCCGACATTTCAGTGATGCCACCCTGCAAAAACGTTAAAACTATACTCACTACAAAGCTTCTTTTCGCCAACAATGGCATGAAAATACAAACCTATGGTGAAAAACTCATAACACTGTCACTGGGATTGAGACGAAACTTTGTTTGGACATTCGTATTAGCTGACGTCAACTGCGATATGAATCGACGCAAACTCATCGATCGAGCTACGCTGCTCGAATCAACATGTCACGCGCCTCAACGTAAAATCAACGCAATTTTATCCTACGACACGAGCAACCAATACGCTAGGTTGCTTCACGAATACCGCGATCTCACAACGATCAACTCGAACCGGCTGCCAGCAACGTCCGAAGTACCGCACTTCATCTCGACCAACGGCCCGCCCACTCACGCCCGCGCCCGACGACTAGCGCCCGACAAACTCAAAGCTGCACAAACTGAGTTCTCCTACCCCATCGAAAAAGGAATATGCCGCCCCTCAAAAAGCAACTGGTCCAGTCCATTACATCTGGTAAAGAAAGCAAACGGAGATTGGCGACCATGCGGCGACTACCGAGCACTGAACAACGTAACAGTGCCGGATCGATATCCTATTCCGTACATACTGGATGTAACGAGCATCCTTCACGGTAAAAAGATATTTCAAAAATCGACCTGCAAAAAGCGTATCACCAGATCCCTGTCGAACCGCAAGATATTCCCAAAACAGCAATTATCACTCCTTTTGGGCTATTCGAATTCTTGTTCATGACATTCGGCTTGCGCAACGCAGCGCAAACCTTTCAGCGTCACATAAACAACGTAATACAGGGTCTCGACTTTGCTTTCGCATACATCGACGACATTCTGATCGCTTCAGAATCCGAGGCGCAGGACGAGACGCACCTCCGCACGGTCCTTAACCGCCTTCGAAAGGCACATCTGACCGTCAACACCGAGAAGTGCCAATTCGGTAAACCACAACTCACGTTCTGAAGCCAAAGTGGAAGCCATCCGCCACTTTAAAAAACCGCTTATTGCTAAAGATTTTAAAAAGTTTCTGGGTATGATAAACTTCTATCGGCCGTTTATCCCACGAGCTGCTGATAACCAACACATACTCCAGACGCTAATCCAAGGCAATAAAAAGAACGACAAAACCCCGATACTCTGGTCTACAGAAACCGACCACGCATTCGACACCTGCAAGAACGAGCTTGCAAACGCTACGTTGCTGAACTACATGGCACCTAACTCGCAATTAACACTAACCACCGATGCCTCCGATGACGCCATGGGTGCCGTGTTACATCAGATCGTCAATGGGCAGACGCAACCACTGGGTTTCTTCTCCAAGAAATTCACACCGACGCAAAAGAAATACAGCACCTACGATAAAGAACTGACCATATATCAGGCCATTTTGCACTTCAAGTTCGCATTGGAGGGCAGAAGCTTCATAATCTTCACCGACCACAAGCCACTGATGTACGCTTTCAATCAAAACAGCGAGAAAGCATCACCGCGGCGCACGCGCCAACTGTATTTCATCAGCCAATTCAGCACCGATATCCGGCACATCACAGGAGAGGAAAACAACGTGGCTAATCTTCTCTCACGCATCGACGCCAATAAACACATCGACTTCGACGAGATGGCACTGGAACAGGAAAACGACGGCGAACTACAATCGCTACTCAATTCTAATCCAGAAAATACAATCTCACTAACCAAATTTTCCCTTTCAGGCTCAAATAAGCAATTTTACTGCCACGTCGCCAATAACCGGATACGCCCGTTTGTGCCCAG